AGCTCCATGAATGCACGAAGCCCGTTGATTCCAAAGGGCCCATCCCGGTGCACTTTTGGCACCTCCCTCACGCGGCTCAGTCTCCATAAAAAGGTGCAAAACACTTCCATGCTTCATGGCAGCCCTTTTACTCATAACAGGGCCGGCCCTTCAACCGTCCATACATGACCATGGCCACCCTGTGTGCCAAGGCAGAAGAGGGACTGTGCCCACTGGAGTCACCCCAACTCCTGTTCCGTGTGACTTTTCACAAGTGCAGTGTGGCAGACCCACATATAAAGCTTACCCGTGGTGTATTTAACTCATGCTTTGCTGTCCTAGCCCAAGGTTTGTCTCACAGACCACCAAACAAACTGTGGCTTGTTTTCTCAGTCCATGGGCTGTTTGTTTTCTTCCTCCTCCTCTTCTTCCCTTCCTGTATCTCAAATACTTTTGTGGGGCTGTAATGCTGGCAGGTAGAGTGGCTGTTTTGGCTTTTATCACTCTTTCCCAATGCCTCTGTAGCTTGCCAAAAAAGTCCATGAGCACCCACAAACTCTAAACCAAACAGAGCTCACAACTCAACAAAAAACCGTGGGTTCTCTTGTTCACAGCTAACAAATGTGGCCGGATTTGTACAATGCAACAGCCCAGAATGCAACAATCTATATAATGGGCTGGTATTATGTGTGAGCCAAGCCTGTGTGTGCATAAGCTCTAAATGTGCGATAACCATCTCATATCACATACAGGGCCTTTCATAGGGAATGCCAGGAACAGACAACTTGATGCTCTCTAGTTGTTTTGAACTACAGTTCTTGTAATCCAGTGGAGGATGGGTCTGCAAAGGTGGAGTCAAGAGTCCCTGAAAGCAGAACAGTCTTTGGATCCCCAGTAGGCGCCAACCCATACAACAGAATGGGAGAACTGAGGCAGAAAAGCACTCCTTTGGACCCATGTTCTGTTGTTGCAGTAGCTACCATTCCACATAAAATCAAGGGACTTTTAAGTTCATAAGTGCACCATCGTGATGCTGCCACTACCAAGGACGACACTCTATAATACTGTCCTAGGAGTCACACAACCAGGGCTGGGTCATGGTCATGAGTGGCCCTGAAGCAAGCCAAGTTTGCTGTAGATGAAGGCATCTACAGCAAGCGTCTCACTCCACTGCCAATATTGGACTCACATACAACATTTGTGCGTGGATCACATGCAGGCAACAATGCACAATAAAGCAAATACATTTTATACAATGTGTGTTTGTGGAAATCACCTTCAGTGCTTTCCTGGAAGCAAAGGAGTTACATACCTCTTTCGTTATAGAGAATACAAATGCAAACACAAGCTTCCTCCTTCGTGACATACAGCATATACACACAGGAAAAAACCCCATATATTGAAGGTCTCCCTGCCCCCTTCACACATGTACATGCAGGAAAGAAATAGAGGCCTTGTTCGCATGCAAAGACAACCCAGAGTACGGACTGTTACTGAACCATGAAGCCATGTGCAAATGATAGCAATGAGCAATCCAGGAAGAGAACTCATAGTTTGCTGGCGGGTTTTCTGCTCTGGCTTGTTTATGATTAACAACCACCGTTAAATCAAGGCACAGGATTTGTACATAATAGCAACTCATGATTCAAGAACAGCCTATAATTCAACGGCAACCAATGTGCCACCCATACTCTGGGTTGCCAGTATGTGTGAATCCGGTCAGACACTAACTCGGTTTCTCATTCAGGTCAAACAGTCCCCACACATGCACACAAATGGTAACCCAGGATATTTTGCTGCTGAAGAGGACAACCACTTTTCTCATTTTGTTTCTTACTTGGAAAATATTCTCGGATAACTCCAAATTTATCCTTTTATACATTGTAACATAGAACACAAAAGAACTGCTTCAAAGCCAAGCTTTTCTTATTCCAGCTGCAACCCAAACTGCACAGAAAAGGAAACAGAACAAATTGCTTTTGAAGCCAGGAGTAACAAGTGTGTAGCCAGTGTGTGAGCTTAATGCATCAGAGCACACGAACCACAGAAAAAATTGTCTCTGGACTACACATGTGCTCCGCCAGTAGCAGCTCCCATCACACAGAAACCATATGGCTTTAAGTTCATGAGTGGGAGGAGAAAGTCCCCACAGACATTACAGTGTTAATGATAAGGTTTATGATAATGATATATGATATTCTCAAAGCCACACAGAAAAGCAGCTTTTGGGAACACAGGAAGAAGCTCTGAAAGCCCCTAAAATCCATGACTTTATATCCTCTATGAAACAAAGCAGGCCTACTCAGAAGTAACTTCTTTTGGAACATAGGAACAAGTCTGGAAACCCATTCAAAGAGCCACACCTTGGTATACCCAAAACCACCAACAGTGCATCCACCACAGCAGGGCAGCACAGTACACACTTTCAGATTGTGTATATTTTGTAAGAAATAAAGAGGAGCGGATAGCTTAGAAAAACACGGGCAGCATTAATCCCTCCAAGCTCAGTGAGGTCCTTTTAGAAAACACAACATGTGAACTTTCATCGCTCCCTAAGCCAAGATTTTTAAAAATAGCAACATAGAACAAAACAACAGAGATTAAAGCTGTGTTGAATCTGTTAAAGGCTTGAGCTCATCCAGAGTATTTAACTATTACCAAAGAAAGAGAAAAAGAGAGAAATATAAAAATGGAAGTGTTTTCAAATGCCAACTTTTGTTTCTCCAGTAAAAGGATGCGAAGGATTTCTTGCTCCACATCTTGCTCTAACTTGCCCATGGCAGACTGCCTTGTTCTTGCTTCTTCTAGTCACATAATTAATCTATGATGTGGGGATGTTTGTTTTTTCTTTTGCCCTTGATGTCTTTGTTCTAGGTTCAAGCGCAGAAGGGAGAGCTGTGTCTGCCCAAAACATAAGTTTGTCAAAGGCAGCAGCACTACAACAACTCTGGATCAGAGACCAGATTATATAAGCAATTTGGGAAAAGTTCTTCCAAGTAACAACAAAGTCACAGACATTTAATGTGCACATTTCACTGGGTGAAATTTCACTATTATTTATTATACATATGTTCTACCTTTCTCCCATTGCGGCTACATGCAGTTCCCAGGTGGTCTCCCCTCCACGTTCATGCCATTCCCAGGCCTGCTTAGCTTCAACATGGTAGCCACCTTGTGTACCTTCACACCATACTCTGGCCACTAGCTGAACACCCAGAATACTCAGTCATTATTAACCTTCCAATACATGATTCATCTGACAAGAGATTCCAGGATTCATTTTTCTAACTTTGGAAAATTCTGAATAGCAGAGTTGAGATAAATATTAATGTTTTTGCATACCAAATATTAAGCACTAGCCAGCCTTCCTACTGACGTGCAGCTGCTAACCGGTGTTTTGCTCAAGCAGAATAGTAAATGAATGGACAACCATGAATGCAAGACAATTTCGGTGGTTATGTGTGTCTTACTGGTAATCACACTGGAGGAGGGAACTGAGGGTTCTTCAAAGTGTGGGCCACAAACCCACTAGAAGAGCTGAGAGAGAGGAGCAGGGCTGTGACTCTCTTGTGACCCTAGCAATAGCAAGCAGAAGTGAACTGATACAGAGAGAAGAGCCACTAAGGGAATAGTCTTGCAGTTGGCATGGAAAGAACCTTGCCAGCTGCCTCTCTGAGGCTGCGAACGTGACCTTACAGAAAGGGAAAGGGGGCTTTCTGGTGGATGCAAAGGGGAGGAGATTGGAGAGTCAGAATACAAAATGTTGTGACACCTCTCCAATCTCCTTCCTTCGTCCTCTGTAATAATTTTGCTAGGTGGGCAAAAAGCATGTCTAACAACATATGCAGGATGGGAAGACAGAGAGGCAGAGATTACCTCTGCCATGCCTCCTGCTCTGCATAGGATGACCTTAATGCCCCAAGTCTGGGGCTTCTGGGGACTGCAATAGGACTGCACCTGAAGTCACTGGCCCAGTGATTACAGGAAATGGAATGTGTGACATGTATGTATGTAATGAAAGTGCAGCAAGGTACTTTTATACCTAATGAGGTTTGTAATTCACATGGGAATTAAAGAAGATCTTGCAGGTTTGAGAGTGCCATTTGCCGGAGTTTGGAAACATTGGATAGGAACACAGGAAGCTCCCTTTTACCACAGAAAGCTCCCCTTTACCTGTCTTGATTCTCTACCAATTAACTTCATGATCCTGAGTTCTAGCATTATGGGAAAGGGAGAAAAATGTCTCCCTCTCCACCTTCTCCATACCATGCATAATTTTAAACACCTCTCTCCACTTTTTCTAAGCTAAACAATCCAGCTTAAAGGTCTTGCTTTATATAATTGGACTTATTTGTTAGCTTGCACTAAATATTGGTCTTTTCTGCTTAGATCAGAGTTTCAATCAGGGTCAGTGTGGACTTTTCTTGTCTGGGCCTCTCTTGAAATGGATCACAATAAGTTTTAGGTAAATCAGAATGGATAGGGTTCCTCTCACATTTATGGCTGTTAAAGATGTGGGAAATCTAATGCCACATCAATTATATGTTGATCCATTTTCTTATGCTAATTTGATAAGAAATTCAGATTACATGTCTGAGATAGGAAACTGCCTTTTATCAAATCAGACCACTGGCCTCTCTAGGCCAATGTTATATATACTGACTTTCTATGTTTTTAGACTGTGGCCTTCCCACCAGTGCTTGGAGAAGCCAAGGATGGAACCTGGCCCTTTCTCCACACAAAGAAGGTGGTCTGCCACTGAGCTATGACACCTCCCATATGGGACGATTTCGACACGCTCGTGCCACATACATCCCTGAGCAGAGCCAGCAGCAAGGATATCCTTGCTTTTCTTCAGGCCATTTTCTGTGCAACACCTCAGTGGGTGGTATCACATAATGGAATCAGTATCTTCTAAGCTGACTGGCTTTTAAAAATCTGCATTGTCTTTGGTTTGGAGGCTATGGAAGCAAGCACTTTCATCCTAACAGACAAATGGAAGAAAAACAAAGCAGACTTACTTGTTGGTGTGACTGTAGGGTGGAGAGTGGAATTGGTGGTAGAATTGTTTTCTTGGGTGCTCCCTGAAACAAAACGCACAAACCCATTGATCAATATGCATTAACCACTATTGTACCTTCAGAGCATCAAGTCTCCAGGCTCCAAATACCCAAGCAGTCCCATATGATATTGATACAGCTTTTTTAAAATCACACAATTGAGCATTCTGTACATTGGTGCTGTAGTCAATTCTCCACTGTGAGGAGGTAATCACCTGATGGTTCAGGCAATTAGTGCCTTGAGACACCACAATATTTCACTTCTAGCTACTTGTTTGCGATTGCAGCTGGAAGCTGTATTCATTTCAGAATTTGCAAATCACACTGAAGATTTTCAAATACCCAACCTGTTAAGGTCAATGGGACTTCAACATGGAATGGTTTCCTCATGCTGAAAATTGCATCACGTTTGGGATATTCAGAATAATCTCCAAAACTTTGACTTGGAGAACAAGCCATTCAGCACTGGCCGTTTGCACAGTATGACTGTGTAGCGTTTGCTGGGAACGTGAGTGGGAAGGTGGCACTGCTTGGGGGTGTCTCATGGGCAAGTGACAGGCTACTGTGTGAGCAGAATGCTGGGCAAGATGGCCTTTGGTCTGATCAAGCCAGGCCCTTATGAGTTGGCCGAAACTTACACTCACATTTGCGCGGGATTTCCACACTGCCTGTGCTATCAGAAATGGGATCTGTCTCACAGTCCATACAGCAAAGTTTCTTCAGAAATAAGTGTTTCATAAAATCCTGCTTGATGGGTCTTTTTGCCATATTGATACAATCATAGACAAACTTACTTGTGAGTAGGCCCATTGACTTTAGTGGAACTTAACTACTTCAGCTGGGCTGGGCGATAAAACTGGTCCAGCCTCTGTGTCACACCTCAGTCCAGGAAACCACTGACATGGTCTGGATGTGATAACAACCCACCATGGATGATAGGTCTTGGCGGGTTGTTGTGGCATCTGAATAGTTTTGCCAGCATTTCTTATTTTTCTTCAATAAGCTACCCTGAAAACCATAGCTTTTTTAAGGGTACTCCATACCTGTGGTGGCTAGTTGCATTGTCCGAACCCATGAGGGCAGCTTCATAATGGGGGTTGCTGAAAAGATCAACACAGCCTCCTGGCAAGAGGAGCCAAAAAACACACTGTTCCTCATGAGCAAGCTCACTTTCCAAACGCTACTCAGTGGCAGACTCAACCCAATTTTGCTGCTTTACTTTTCAGCAACCTTTAAAAATTCCCCTTCTTTCCATAGTGAAGCAGCTGTGACTCATCCGCGCAGTAACCTTGGAAGAGCCCTACCCAACCTCAGCCAGGCAAGTATCACCCCACAAAGAGCTGCTGCCATCCAACGAATGATTCCTCCTGCCCATTGCCAGGCATGTCAGGACACACTGGAGCCCATCCTGCATGGCCACCCACATCCAGCAGGGTCAAGCCACTCAGCATCCCATCTGCAGCTATTTCTAGCTCCCCAGGTGCTGTATGCCCCAAGAAGTGTTCTGTGGAAAGCCTTTGGGAACCACAGCATGCCCTGCCGCTGCTGTCCCTGCAAGCTGCCCCATCTGCTTATGGGACAGGTTCCCCAGTGAGGTCCTCATAGAATCACAGATGGTGGACTTGGAAGTGTCTTGTAAGGCCATCAAGCCAGCCCCCTGCTTAGTGCAGGATACCGGTTTGAAGCATCCCTGACGGATGGCTGTCTGCCTCTTGAATGCCTCCACTGTGGGAGAGCCCACAGCCTCCCTGGGCCACTGGTTTCATTGTTGTATTGCTCTAATAGGCAGGACATTTCTCCTGATGTCTAGCTCGAATCTGGCTTCCTGTACCTTAAGCCCATTATGCCATGGCCTGTGTAAAGAGATCCTGGCCCTCCTCTGTGAGACAGCCTGTCACATATTTGAAAAGGTCCATTGTATCTCCCCTCAATCTTCTCTTCTCAAGGCTAAACATGCCCAGCAATTACATCGAGCTTTGTTTCTAGTCCCTGGGTCATCTTGGTTGCCCTCCAATGAACTTCTTCCAGTTTGTCTGCATCTTTCTTGACATGCAGTGTCAAAATGGGACCCAGATAGGGCCTAGTTAATGTTGAGCAGACAGAGGGGAGCCAGCATCTCATGTGATCTGGAAGACATACTTCTATTATAGCAGCCCAATATAAAACTTCCTATAGAACTGCTTCTTCTGCTTCTGCTTCATCATCTTCTTCTTCTTCCTGCTTTTCCTTCTCTTCTTTTGCAGCCAAAGCACTTTCTTGACTCATATTCAGTCTGTGATCTATAACAATTCCAATACTCACTAGTAGTAGAGCCAGTGTGGTGTAGTGGTGAAGAGCATGGGACTGAGACTCAGGCAATCTGGGTTCTAGTCCCTGCTCGGCCATGGAGCCAACTGGGTGACTTTGGGCCAGTCACAGACTCTCAGCCCAACCTACCTCACAGGGTTGTTGTTGTGGGGACAAGATGGAGGAGAATGATGTAAGCTGCCTTGAGCCCTTTGTAGGAAAAAGGCAGGATATAAATCAATAAATCAATCAATAAAAATAAATAGTAGTATTGCTATCTCTTAACTGCATTCGGTTCCCTTTTCCTAGCTGTAGAACTTGGCCATTGTCCCTATAGAATTTGCTTCCATTGCTTTCAGCCCAGTGCTCCAGGCTATCAAGATTCGGGGTACTGGTTGACTGCAGACTAAACATGAGTCAGCAGTGTGATGCGGTGGTCAAGAGGGTGAACGCCACCTTTGGTTGCATAGCCAGAAGCATGGCTTCTAGATCAAGAGAGGTATTACTACCACTCTGCACGACTCTAGTGTGCCCGCAACTGGAGTATTGTGTTCAGTTTTGGGCCCCTCATTACAGAAAGGATATAGCCAGGTTGGAGTCAGTGCAGTGTAGGGCCACAAGGTTGGTGGCCGGTTTGCAGGGGATGCCGTATGAGGCGAGACTGAGGGAACTGGGTCTCTTCAGCCTGGAGAAGAGGAGACTCAGAGGGGATATGTTGGCGACATACAGGTATGTGAGGGGGTGTCACATGGAGATGGGTAGAGACCTGTTCTCCCCTGCAGAGGAAGGCAGGACGCCTCCAACGGAGCAAAGCTCAGGGAGCCAAGGTTCCATTTGGATTCCAGGAAGCACTTCCTGACAGTCAGGACCCCGAGGGTGTGGAATGGGCTTCCACGAGAGGTCGTTGAGGCCCCATCGGTGCAGGTGTTCAAGGATAGTCTGGACGTCCACATGGTGGGCATGTCGTGAGCGGAGCCAGCTGGTGCCAGAGGTCAGACTAGATGGCCTGGGAGACCCCTTCTGACTTGCTCTGTTTTCTATGTTTCTAAGATCACCTTGAATTTTCTGTCTTCCAGGGTATTAGCTATCCTCCCCAAGTACAAGGAGCTGAATGCCTTTTCCTCCTGCTACAAGGAATGCAAGTTGGCCTGCTAATGGGAAGCAAAAGATGATGTGCGAACAGAATGCCACAGAGTATTTTCCCCAGAGAAATGCAGTCAGAGCTGGCTCTTCCCATGGAAGGTATGGATACTGGTCCTCCAGAGATTGGGTTTCTCCGGCCTGTTCTGCCCAGGCACCTGTTCAGTAACAAATGCATCGCGATATTGCAGACCTAGATCAGATGGTGATGCAGTCCCTCCCTTGTGTGTGAATGTGTATGAAAGAGACCCAGGGAGAAAGCAAAAGAAAGAGAGTAGGACGCCTCAATGGCCTCCACACATCAGCCCTGGGATAAAGGCGAAGGCTCATAGCAGCCTGCTACACGAAGCACCCAGTAGCACCGCAGCTTCTGTCACCGTTCCATGCATACAATTCCTTCTGTTCTACCTGTGCACTTGCCAAGGAATTTTGCAACCTGCCTAGGGCAAATTGTAAGTTGAGTGACATATCTGAAAACATCAAAGAGGAGAAAGGAAAGCATGCATTTAAGATCAACAGATATGTAGAGAATGCTCAGGAGGGGGAGCCTAAAAGTTAGCTCAGCTTTGCATGGTTCCCACAATTTTGCTAGCAGGCTAGCAGGCAAAAGCATGCTCTCCCTGCCCCGGCTGCCCACGCCTTGGCTACTGTCTCTTTTTTCTGCTGTTTGAGGGCCCCCCTTTATTCTACTTTTCCATTAATACTGCTGCTCTTTTTCATTGGTTTAGCATTGGGGTTTTATATATTGTGGCTGTAGCTATGAATTTAATGGCAGGTGCTTTGTAAGAAAAGCAGGAAATCCCCTTTCCCATGAAAGAAAGAAAGAAGACAGACAGACAACCACCACCTCTTCTCAATACAGTTTCAATGTCTCTAACCCTTGCAGGAGAAGAAGCAGCCATTCCACAGGCACCTTCCCCATCTCAGCATTCTCCGCTCAGAAAAGCTACACCAGCTGAACTTCCCTGTCAGTTGAGGTTACAAGAGCAGTGCCCTCTTCTAAACGCTGCACTATCTGTTGAAACTCTGCATCTGAGGCAGTTTTGTTTCTCCTCCCTCCCATATTATGGTGCATGTCAACAAAGCCATTTTGCCTTCATGTGATCTGAGTCTTTATCCCAAAAGCTTGGCAAGGGATCTGCATCCCGGTGCTGCAAGGCACATAAAAATTAAAATTGCAGGGTCTTAGGCTCAATTTCCAACCTGTTATTTTGAAATATTTCCAAGTGTCTTCAGGCCCCTTTGGTAATCTTTATGGCATTCAGAAAATCTCCCTTCCACCCTTCTTCTATTGCTTCTCTTCAGGGATTTCCAAAATTTAAAAAGCCCCCATGACCTTTTGCCTTCCGAATCTACTCAAGTATTTTTCTTTCTTACAAGAAATGCAGCACAGCTCCCTCAGCCCCTCCCGTGAAGTTACTGGGCTGGGGGATGCAGGTGGGGGGGCTCCTCTGTTGCAGCTCATTCTATCGCCACATGCCCATCATGGGTCGGGCTGCAGCTGCACATGCTCAGAAGTCTGAAAGCAAGGGTGCAGAACTCCTTTCAGCTCTGGGGCTGACTTCTGTGTCAGAGAAGCCCTCAGGGGGCTGCACTCCTGGTTCAGTTTAAAGTTCCTCATGCTAGCAAGTAAGCCTGAGGAGAGCCATTTCAGCCTTTCAGAATTTGGAAAAAGTTGCACAGAAGCCAGGAAAGCACCCCATGATGGGTGGTTGTGGGAAGGGGAGACTTTTCATCTGGGGAACACTGGCCCCCTGCGAGAGGTTCTGCACATGGCAGCATTTGCATGTAGGCGAATCTGGATCCACCGTGCTGTGAGGTGGTTATGGCTACCAATTCTAGTCAATGAACCTATGCAGTCAGAAAGAAGCTTCCAGTCCTGAAGGGTTCTGAGTATCATTCAATGCCAGGCAGCTGCCAGCAGAGCCGGAGAAGCAGTGGGAGCGATTCTTGCCCCTCTGTCCTTCTTTTAAGACATTTTCCTTTGGATGGGCCATCAAGAGAAGGCACAGAAGGCTGGGCTGCAGCTGGAGCAGCTATAGGAGTCCTTCTATCTGACCTCTTCTCAGCCTTCCTCAGTCACTGGAATGCCTTCTTCTCCCAAGGCTACATTTGCAATCTCAGGAAGCAGCTGGTGCAGTTCCTTTTGTGGCAGCTGCAAGAGGAAGGGTGCTCAGAATTCAGCATCCCCCTCCTGGAGTCCTAGAAGTGTCTACAGTCTTGGGAGGGGGCTTCTAAAGATTCCTATGGTCCCAAATCATGCAATTGCATTCTCAGAGCAGTTTGAAGGGTTCCTGTACTGGTTGCATAAGTGATCCTGGCCAATCAGGGATCATAGCATGAACATGATGATTGTTGAGGGTAAGCAAGGCCCATTGGAAGTGACAGCAGTGCTTCTTATATAGGCAAAAGCTTCTGACTTCTTTTGCAGCAATCCCTGGGGATAAAGACTTGCCAGTGAACGGATGCCTTTGGAGACCAACAAAAAAGTTAATGCAAACCATTCCTCCTTTTGGCTTACGAGTAGCTCTAATAACAATAGTTACACAGTACATTCTCACTGTCAAAGGATGTTAGATGAAATGCAACAATGGCTCTGCAAATTTGTATTTTGCTTCCAATATATACAGCTGTTCCTTGGCACAGTGGCTGGGGAAAACAGGTTCCGATATTGGGAAAATAGATGGGAAGATCAGAACTGTCATGGAAGATCAGGTAGAGAAATTCGGAGGCTATGTACACATAACATTCTCTAGTTTCAACTGTTAGCAACATCTTAAAACTTGCTTCGCCATCCAGGAGTACACAAACTGTCCTTTATCAAATGAAATCTGGATTTCTTTGTATCATTCATTGGAAATGCCCATGGCACCTATAATTCACTTCTTCCCTCTTCCCAGTAATGCTTTACCTCATGTTGTTTACCATGGGTCATGAGATCACAACATTTTATGTTTGCTTATCTCTGTTCCACATGATCGTCTGCTAATGGGGAATTTGGGGGGGAAGAATATGAAAAGTTATGGTATCACAAATGAGATAACATCCCTTGTATGTGATGCAGTAGGAAACTAGATTCCTAATGGCTGTTTACCGTCTAGTCTAGTTTGGCCTTCAGAGGGAGGCCATAAATCCATTTAGACAGTGATATGCAAGCCATGTTTATTTCTGGAAAGTTTCCCGTTTTCCCCAGAAAGATCCTGAGATGTTACTGAAGTTGCTGATTCAGTTGTGTTGCCCACCTTGCTCAGAGAAAATCTAGCTGCAGTGCATTTGGCTACACATTAAATGTTGCACAAATCTGATTTATTGCCCCAAGGGTGGTAATGCAAAGTTCAAAGTATTTTCTTGCAGCCTCTTGCCAATATTTTTCCTGCTCACCTGTTTTGCAGTGTCAAACAGTCTTCCACAAGGACAGACCAACCCCCCAGGAGCCACTAATCTGTTCTCTAGTCACTCATCTGATGACAGGTCAATCCAACACCTTCATGGAAGATCAAGCTCAATGGCAGAACCATAGCAAAACCCCTTAGCAGGCATGGGAGACTTGTCCTCCAAGGTCTTTGATTCTTTACTACTGGCCATGCTGGCTCGGTGGCCCCCTAATGAGAAGAGGATGGCAGAGGTTGAAGTGGCTGGATGGAATCACTGGAGAGGTCGGTATGGGCTTGGGTGTACTCCGGGGGATGGTGGAGGACAGGAAAACCTGGAGGAACGTTGTCCTTGGGGTCGCAGAGTCTGCATGACTTTGCGACTGAACAACAACAACGCTGGCTAGGGATTTGTGGGCCAAAACAATTAGGTCACAAGTCTCACATTCTTGGATAGAGGTATGGAGCAACTGCCTTCTAATGGCATAGAGTCATCAGATAAGGTGCTGAGAACCAACTGAGGTTCTTGGAAGTTCCTCTTAAGAACCAAACAAGCAGTCATCCTTTGCCTTCTCCAAATGCCACTGAGTTAGCAACACACAGACTCTTATCTCCTACTGAAACTGTGTTTCTATGAGCACTGATGCAGGATGTTTCACTGACCCACTTCTGTGTAAACCTGCACAGTATTGCACCTTAAGTGGGTGTAACAAACCACACTTTCTTCCCTGACATCCTCTCCCTGCTTTGCTCTACTGTCTTCCCTTCAAAATTCAGACTGTGAAGTCCTTGAGAGAGGAATTTGTCTTTTTTTTATGTTCCTTCTGGAAGTGTCATGCATTCTGCAGGTGGGCCACATAAGTCAAACTAATGCAAACTGTCACCCCTAAAATAGGAACTGTGCACAGAAACTGTGACCACATCCGGATGAAAAGGCAAAGGCTAATATCAGCTGCAGCATAACAGCTAGATGGTTGAGACTGGGCCATGAGCTGGCCACCATAACAGAACAGGAAGCAGCGTTGAGCCTCACGCTACTTATTTCTCAGTGAATATGCCTATAATTTGCAGCATCACTTGGAAGTAAGTTCTCTGAAAACCAACACAATTTACTTCCAAGGCAATGTTTTGCCTTCACATGGCAAGTCTCTGTTTACACACAGTGGCATTTTTATGGAGATTGTTCACTGGACCTCCACCCTGAAGACATTCAAGGTCTAGAACAGAACAAGAGCTTTATTTTAGTCCCCATTTAAAATCACTGCACTGTTCATTACATGCAACACAGTTAATAAGTACGCAGTGTGGATGTCCCAGCTGTGAAAAGCTCTCAGTGAGCTTGAATCACTCCAAGCCTCCTGTGTTTTGCAACAGGTACGAAACTGCGTTTGCTTGAAGGCTGCCTTAACCTGCATTCTTTGCTCCAGAAAAAAAAGCAGTCAGGTGGGGCGGCTGGGGCATGCATCAGTGTGGAGGTTTTGCATTCACACGGGATTTCAGAGGTTCATGGCATTACCAGTCAAATGGCAACAATCTTTAATAGATTTCTTTTGAAAGTCCTGGACAATACAGAAGGGTTACAACACAAGACACTTGGAAGAGGAAACCATCAGTGGCTACTAGCCTTGCTGGGCATGTGCCACCTTCTTTACCAGAGCTGGCATTCCTACATGCACCAATGGCTGAGGAGCCGGCCAGGAGGAGGTCTTGCAGCCATCCTGCTTGAGGGACCCTGTGGGCAGCTGGTTTGCTATCACGTGTCCAGCATGCTGGACTGGATGGACCTTTGGTCTGACCCATCATGGTTGTTCTTACGTTCAGTGTCTGTCTGGGTGTGTGTAGTTCAAAATCACGACTACAGGAGAATTAATGAGAAAATTGTTAAAGTTTTGGAAAATCCTGGCTCACTCATCCATTCGGACGGAGACCGCAGCCAAGAAATTCAGAGGAGATTGAGACTTGGAAGGCTAGCAATGAAGGAAACAGAAAAGCTAATCAGTCATCCTTGGACTGATTTGGGGATCCCCCCTCACTTAGTTCTAGTTTTGTATAGATGTGCAAACATTTGCAAGCTGAAGCCTACGCATATCCCCCCTGCTCCACTGCTGTTCTGGCTGCAAAGGCAGCAACACTTGCCCCTGAACATCAGAAACAGTCACCACCATCAAACTTTAAATGAAGGAAGCCTCTGATGCATGTGTTTCTTCATTTAGTTATGTCTACTCTGGCTAGCAGCTCCTTTTCAGTGCCTCCAATAGGTGCCAGCCTGGCTAGGCAGATGCACCTTTGGAAAATCAAGATTTGATTTGGAAATGAACCAAGGACCTTTTCCAATGCAAAGCATGCGCTCTGCTGTTGAGCTGTGGCCTCTCTTCCAGTATGGAGCTGGGGGTGCGAATTGCAGGTCAGCCAGAGGTCCGCAGTGACTTCAGAGTTAAGAAGGCAAAAATAAAGAGTCTTGCAGCAGCTTGCGCACTAGCAAAGAGATTCTTCAAGAAGCTTTTGGGACACGGTCCCATTTATAAGATCCATGTCCTGGCCAGTGTCCATTTAAGCTTATGCCAAATTTAATTTGTCAAGTCTTTTACGGTGCCACGAGACTCTCGCTTAGCTTTGCCACAACAGGCTGACAAAGTTTCCCTATGGAAATAGCAAACCTCCCTCTGTTCAGCACAGGGCTGAACTGTATTCGTGGGCAGGCAACCCACGGCTGGAGTGGGTTGCCTGTGATTTGCCCAGCCGCCCGTGCCTCATCCTGCCTTCCCCAGTCAGGCACCCTCCAGAAAAGCGCCACTGCAGCTTTCGGCAGCCCCTGCCAGAGCGGTGGCGAGTAGTCTGGCATGAAAGAAACCTGTTGCCGCGAACCGTTTGGCGGGCTGCTTCTTGCTGAAGGTACGAGTGACCCGGGAGGCATCCGTTCGCCAAAGAGGGGTGTGAGTGAGTGTGAGAAAGAGCAAATCCAATCAAATCCACGGATGCACTACGGAGCGCTCCGCGCCTAGGGGTGTTTGGAGTGGGCTGCCTTCCCCACGAGGACTTACCCAACTGCGCGCAAAGGCAGAAGTGGACCAGCACGAGGAGCAGCAGCGGCTTCATGGTTCGCTTCCAGAGAAAAGTTCCTCGCAAGGCACTCGCTCCAGCGGAGCTCCGCGGGAGGGGGGCAGCAGACGGGCAGCAGAAGCCGCTCGGCCAGGGCCGCTTCTGCCGCCGTTCCCGGTGCCGCGCGCCGCCGGCTGCCTCCCTCTCCGTGCGCGACGAAGCGCGGCGGCTGCTGGAAGGACCCGCGGCGGTCTTCCCACGTGATGGAGGCCAGGCAGGAGGAGGAGGAGGAGAGGAAGGAAGGGAGGGGGGCAGGGCGCAGGAAGGGAGGACGGCTTGGGCGGGGAACCCGCGCCGGCGCGCAGCTGGCCCTTTGTCTCGGGAGGCGGCGGCCGCCGTCCGCCGGCGCGCGCCTTCCCGCGAGGGGAGCCCGCCGCAGCCTTGCGCCGCAGCCGGGGCGCTGCGCTGCGCGGGACCGGCCGGGATGAGACGGGCTCGCCGGAGCCGCCGATGGCGCCTGCCCCGCAAGGGACGGCGGCCCGTGCCCGAGGCCGCCGGCCTGCTTTGGAAGATGTCAGCAGGCTCTTCCCTTGCGCGGGGACGGGGGGATGAAATGCAGTAGCAAGCAGCGAAGCGGCAGTTGGATGCCTCTCCGCGACGCACCCAGCAAATCAGCTGCCTGACTCAGAGCACGACTTGACAACCCACAATCCAGTTGCGGGTGGCTTGTCGTTGAACCATGGGCTATTGGAACCCTACTGGGTTGTAACCATGGGCATGGAACCATGAAGACGACCTGCAGTGGCGGGGCTGTGAACCCTGAACTGTTTGTGTCTAATACACTGTGGCTTCCTAGCACCGCTAGATTCACACAACCTGAGCTTGCAGACAATCCGTGTATAGCCCGTTTTTGGTCTCGAGTGTGGGTGGGTGGCAGTGTGTCGTGTGAACCTTGCCTTTGCCTGCTGGGCCTGCTGAAATCTTACCTAAATGTGTGGGTAATCATAAGAACTGAGCGATGTGTGTATTATTATTGCTTTACTTTATAGTGAATAAATTGCCAATAGCCAGAGCTCCATGAGCAACATTTCATAAAAACAATAAAACACAATACAGATGAAATCAAAACAGCATAAAATTCAATACAAAAGCCATTTCAACAGATAAACATTTTAAATATGTTTTAATATGTTAAATGAACTAGATCTCTGAAGATGTGACCCCCCCCCCCCCCGCCACACACACACATTTAAAGCTATTAAAAAGTCGTTGTATGACATGAAATGTCTTGGCATAGAGGGGAATTTTAACCTGGCCCTGGAAAGATAATACCTGGTGTCAGGTGCGCCTCACTAGAGAGCTTGTTCCATAAATGTTTGCATTCACTGGCTGAGAGAGAGAGAGAGGATGGCCCCATGATGGAGATTGAGATTGGGTTTGCTCAATACTAGTCTTTCACTCTAGCCCAGCCATTCCCACCTGGGTGCCCTCGTGATGTTTTGGACTTCAGTTCCCAGCTTCAGTTCCCAGAGCATGCTATATGCTCTGATCCATAACAAATGAAGGACGCCAGGCTAGGGAAAGCTTCTCTAAACTAAGGGTGAAGAACTTTTTGGCCTCCAGATGTTGTTGGATTCCAACTCCCATTCAGGCCACACAGCATGACTCATGATCAGGGATGACAGAAGTTGTAGTTGAACAATATAATTTTATTGCTCTATTATACCCGACAGGGTCTTTAAAATCTCTTCATTGCCAGGCCTCAAGCCATGACACTTAATAAAGCTCCAAACAAGAACAAAGTGCCATGCATGTGCAGAGTGCTCTTCCCCCTCCCTGCCCCCAGTGGTTAGCCATGCTGGTGTTGGATAGAACCAGTTCTCTTTACCGGAGAAATAGATGACTACGGAGAGACACAGGCCTGAAACTTGTTTATAATAAGAATAGCTAAGCAGGGATGTCATGGATAGGACATTCTGGGGGGTTTTCATTCATAGAATCGTCATAAGTCAGAGATGACTTGATGTCACATAACACTGGAATGCAGAATTGCTCAACAGGATAATTGGAACAGTACCTAGCCAATTTGAATCAAATATTCTGTTGAATCAGCAGGATATTTGGAACAGTAGATAGCCAATTTCTTCTTCTGCCGCATCTTCATCTGATAAACAATATAGCATATCCATTCATGAATTACAGCATTGCAGTAATAACTCAAGCAGTACATTTCAATAATGCTAAATTTTTTTCTTAAGTGTTGTATGTGCCAGTAAATTGTCTCCAGTTCACAGTGACTCTGTGAATGGAGACCTTCCAGAGTGTCCTGACCTGCTCAGCCTTTGCAAATCAAGGCTGTGGCTTTCCATATGGAGTCCATCCATCTAATATTTGGTTTCCCTTTTCTTCTCCTGCCCTTGATTTTCCCTAACATGATTGACCTCCAGGGAGTCTTGCCTTCTCATGATGTACCAGGTTAAGTTTTGTCATTTTTCTTTCCAGGAAAACATAATGTTTCAAATTGGTTACATAATAGGCAAAATCAACAATTGCAACATAATATCAAATATTCTTTATCAAGAATGTGTAAACCAGAGCCAAATATGCCAGCTAAACCTTCCCTTTGCATCGAGGCATTAATAAACAATGCAAATGGCAAACAGCTACCCCAAGAGTACAAAGTGCAGACAACAGCAACCAGATTTCTTAAGCTGTCAACATCTGATCTTCTCACATGCCTTTCTCTCATCCCTGTACATTTCTCAAGGCTCCAGCCAAGACAAGGGTGATGGAGTTTGTTCTATTCTCCTTTGGCCTGAATGTTCCTATTTGTGCAATTTTCTGCAGGGTCGGGTCTGTTTGCATAACTTTTTGGTGAAAGGGTTAGTCAGCTTTATGGAATCCATACTGAATGCCATGTTTTGGAAAGTAGGCAGGTTATAACTTGAATAGATGCAAGCAAATTAAGAGGGCTAAGTAACCACCCCATGTTTGGAGGAAGTATACCTACGAATACCAGTTTCTGGGGGCCCATAGCAGGGGAAGGTCTATGTCTTCCAATCTTTGCTTGTAAGCTTCTCCCAAAGGCATCTGGCTGTCTGACCACTACCTAAAACCAAGCCCTTTAGGGTTGTTCTTATATTTGCAGACAGGTCTTACAATGTGACCAGATTCAAACTCGGACAGAAAAGGGACTTTCAGCTCATCAAGAACACAGCCATCAAAGGTGTAGGAACTCTGTGTCCTCGGAGCATCTGGCCACTTTATTCCCACTTCTGGGACCTGGGTTGTCAAAGCTTCCAAGCCATACAGAGCGTGATTTCCAGAGCCACGGATTAACAAGCATTCCTAAAGCAATCTAGGACAGGTTCTGTAGGCAGCATTAGAAATGACACTCTTTCAGGAGACAGAGCCACGGAAACCCACATTTTCCATGCTTCCCCTTGCCTGCCACAGACGCAGCTCCTTTGCTCTTACAATGTGATCTTTGTTTGTAATCCATCTCACAAGGCTGTGGAGAAGACAAAAACTGAGGACAAGGTGGCACACTACAGGTATCCCTTGCTTAACGTGGTTCTGATTAATGCAGGTTTTGATTAACACAATAAAAATAATTGCAACTTATTAATCCCTTGATTAACACGGCAGAGTTTTATTTTAAATTTGTCACTAACAGTTGTGGGCATGATTACGTCATTCCTCCCCCACAACCTCAAGGCTCCTGCGAGGCTGATGTTGGCAGTTTTTGTATTGCAAACTCCAATTATTCATTGTAAGTTTTCAAACCCATTGACTATGTTGAAGAATGAGAGAATCAGGCAATCAAGTGAAAAAAAGGAAAAGGAAAGTGATATCCTTAGATACGAAACTTGATATAATTAAAAGATTTAAAAGTGGTGAAAGTAAAGGTAAGATCGCAAGAGAATTTGGCTTTAATGAGTCAACAATATGCACCATTTTAACTGAAGCTGATGAGTGTAGCAAGCAAGGTGTCAACATCTGAAAGTATGCAACACAAACATAAGCAAAGTGCATTGGTGATTGAAATGGAAGATTTGTTAACTATTTGGCTGGAAGATTGTAATCAAAGGAGAATTCCAATTAGTATGCATAACATCAAGGGCAACGTGTTTAAGTTTCTTTTCAAAACTCAAAGAGAATAAATATAAAGATTTGATTATGTCATAATCCATTGATTCTTAGGTTTGATTAACGTGGTCTTGATATACATGGCAATATTGTGTGATCAGTCCAGGGGTACCTGTATTTGGGTGTGGGATGGGGGAAGAGGTAAAAATATTGTAATGTCCACTAGAAAATTACATGGAATGGGGCTTTTCAGTGACTGCCCATGCCCACCAAGTATGCCATTTTATGAATGGGCGAACTCCCATAGAAGCAATTCTGTGGGCATGTCCATGAACCTCTGACAAAATTCCAAATGCGCCCACAGATGTGAACAGGTTGGGAGCCTTGGCTTTAAGCCATTCCACAACAAGTTCTTTAGTGATGTCTCCATCCCACACCAGACACAGGAGTTGTCCCTCACATCGAAACTAATTTCACTCCCTACTGTGCTCACCAAAGCAAGACATCAGCAGATTCATCTGTTCTGGTGTTGCAGCTACTCAAAGCCCACAAAGACTAATTGGGAAGGCGAAGGAGAAAGCCCGCTCTGCCACTGTAGGTGCTGCTGTGATGGAAGAAAGGGGCTTGTTTGCAAATGGAAATCTTAGTGGAGTGGCAGATCAGCCCCTTTGGGGGTGACACCAGCACTAAGCCGAGGAAAGCTACTTTTTTCTGAACGTTCATCCAGGACGTTCTCCTACTATGCCTGAACAACATACTAGGCCCCCTCTCCAGATTAGTGCCACAGCAAGCAATTCTAAATTCTCAAATCTCTGCATACAAGAGGGGAAAAGATCGCATACTTCATGCAGAGTGCTGCAGTCTTCCCACATCTGGCTGGTTATACCACCAGCAGACTCAAAGGATAAAGCTTTTCCAGGCTTGTATCACTTCAGCCTGCAGCTTACCAAGTTTCCAGTGAAAGGTCTTTTCTGCCTTTGCTGTAGGACATGCTTTGATTCTCCTGTTTTCTGTGAAATGCCCCTCATTTAAACTTGCCACAGTCAGCGCATGAGGTACTGCCGCCTAGCGCTGCAGCCTCTCATTCCGCTTTCATGTGGAAGATGACACCAATGAGTCCACCACCCCCTTGTGCGCTTGCCTTGAGCAAGAATGCCAGCAGTATGCAAACCATTTCCTGAAA